TCTTCTTCTATCGCCGGCTCGCTCGAGACACGAGAATGACATGGTTTTTATGAGCTTTTTTTTTACGAGCTTCCTGAAACCGGTTTTTTTTTTCTGCCTTCGCCGTGTTCACTGTTTTCATTGATGAAACTTCGGCGCTTAAAGGGCATAGACTTTCACATCGCGTGTCTTTATGCTTAAAGAGGATATTTTAAAGGAAAGCGAGACATTTCGAGGAAGGATAAAGAGAAGAATGGAAGAAGACCTCTTGATGCTTTGTCAGATGGATAGATGACTACCAATTGATCGATATTATTCAAATGTAAGAAATTCTAAAAAAAAATAGATAAATTATCCAATGATATAAAATTTTGAAAAAAAAGAAGAAACTGCTTCTGATACTTGTCAAACACAATAGACAACAATAGATGAATGTGAACTTTTTATACGAGAAGCAAAAATATAAAAACAAGTAACAATAACAAGAGATATCAAGTGATCACTTCGTCAATTTTCGATTGAAACTGTTGAATACACGGTTGAATGTAAAATCGAATTGCATAAAAATAAAAAATAAAATATTTTTCAAGAATACAAAAGCAAGTAACAATAACGACAGATAACAAGCGATAACGCGTGGATCAGCGTGTTGCAGGGATGCAGATTTGATTTTCAATCGAAAATACATATATCGGGGAATGGTGTTCGAAAATGGTGTGGCGATTAAACAACACTGACACGAGGAAGTATAATAATTGCGTAGGTACCGAGCAACGTTAATGGAACGTCTTGCCAGCGGCTGTAGCGCGATCCAAGGGACAGCGTGTAATAAACGTGTACGATTTTCTCCATTCCTCTCTCTCTCTCTCTTTCCTGCACCTTGCATCCTCTCCTTGCTTACGTCTCTCCCTCTCCTACCTTTCCGTCTCTTTCTCAAGCATATGCTTGCACGTGTACACACAAACACGACACGTAGCACGGTTAAAAGGCGCAGAGACGAGAAATCGCTTGCGACTGGATTCCACGAGCCGGCCAACAGGCCACAAAACTTGGCTGAGGCTCAAAAGAATCGTCCTCTTCTTCTTCTTCTCTTTCGTCTGCATCGAATTATTCTCCTTCTTCTCCTTTTCCATCTCTCTCTCGCTCGGTCTTTCTCGTTCTACGCGCGGATATCTTTTTCCTTTTCGCGGATCGTCGCCTTTTTCTTTTATCGCGTCTTCCTCGCTGCGCCGTGACTCGTCTTTTGCATTCTCCACCGCCGAATTACTGCTTTAAGACTGCCCTCTTCGACGAAAGAGGGCTCCAACACGGATGAGCAGGATTCGGAGGAGCCGAGATAGTTATACAGAAGTTACGCGTCGATTATTCGCTTTGAAATGAACGAAATCCGCAAGATGTTGGTGCTGATAGATGATAAATCAGTGATTTTGATTTATAATATCGTAGTGGTGACGCGAAAGGGAAGTATTGAAGTCGCGAATATGTGCAAATATTTGTCGAAGTCACAGATATTTCTCCTGGAAATTCTTCCCTGGGAACAGTAGAATTCTTTAAAATTCAAAGCTATCCCACGAATTCGAAGCTCGCAATGCAGAAACGTGTAAAAATTCGCGCGATCTGTAACTATGCGTTAATAATGCGTGAAGCGGGTAGAATAAAAGGTGAATTGGCTGGTGTAATTTTCAACCGACTCGTTAGCGTTAAATCTGCTGGTGGAAATGTTAAAATCAAAATTCATGCCAAGTTCTTAACGCAACTCGCCCTTAACCACGAGTAATAATGCGGCGAAACTAAAATCAGAAGAAACGAGCTCTGTTGAACGAAATTTTTATCACTCTTATCTTTGTTTAATTTGAAGATTTGTGTTTTAATAAGTGATTTTTTGTTCTCAATCAATAACCATAATCATAGTTTTTCTAAATTTCAGATTGCCTCTCGCGTTTGCCAAAGAGTAATCGAGTAAATGTTACATGTTGGAACTTAATAACCCTTTAATAACAGGTTTTCGTCGGACGGTGATTAAATTGCTGACAAAACGAGTCTAATACCCTGTGTGTTCCGTGGTTCCATAATAGATGCGTCAACCTACGTTGAACGGCAAAACGTTTTCCACGCTAAGAAACTATAAAAGCTGCGCGTGCAAGCACCGAGCACGCTCAGGATCGAGATTTTCTCGTCGCGTAGCCTGCAGGCAAGGAAGGCGGAAAATTATCCCTCGAAACTTCACGACCCGTTGTTTTTCTTCCCTCTTTTCTACCGGCATCTAATTTTCTCCCGTGCTCTAAGCCGCCGTCCACCAACCACCCCTTTCATCTCTGCACGAAACTTCGTGACCATGTTACGCGCGTGTACGTGATCGTGCCGTTTAAAAGAAACTTTCTGATTTCGGATCTCTACGAGCTTCGTCCACGTAACCTTAACGATAAACGATAATGAGTAGCTCCATTTCGATAATTATTCAATTACGTTGCATTTGAAGTATTTCCCTGTCGATTTTTCTTACAGTTCGAAGAACACTGTGCTTCGTCCAAAACCGAACGAAATCCACGTGGGCCAAGATAAAAGGAGAAGGGTTAAACGACACTCACCATACGGCCGCAGACAAAGCAAAGAAAAAGAAAGCGGCTTCTAATCCTACTTGGTATTTATCGCGAAGACAAAACCGAGTCGGTTCGGCGCGTCCACAGTCGCGGCGACTCGTCGCGCTGAAACTGCGTACCGTTTCGCAAGAAACGCTCGTCAGCAGGTAGGCAAGCGAGCGAGCAAGCCAGGCAAGCAGGCAGGCAACCACAGAATCGAGTAAACGTTAAAACGTAGTTTTCAGATTCTCCCCTTACAAGAGGCGTCGTGCAGAGTTAACGGGAAAGTATATTCCGGCTAGAGATTTTCCCTAACCAAAAGGAGGGACACAGAAGGATAGAAAATTATCCCTTTGAAAGCTGTCCCTCTCTTCTCTTCTCTTCTCCCTTTACTTTATCTCTCTCTCTCTTTCTTTCAGTCTCTCTCGATCATTCCTTCTTCCCCGTCGAACCTGTCCGATTGCCTGTTTCCTTCTCGTTTTCGAAGCCGCTGCCAACCGAACACGGCTGGTTCTCTCTTTCTGTCCGGACAGTCGGGTTCCATCGTTTTTCGCGTGTGTGTATGGATGTATGTATGTAAGTACGTGGCCAAGGCGCTCGATATTTCAGGCCGTCGCCCACGAGAAACGCAGTTCCTGGGGGCGTGTTCCGCACTGCTATGGTCGGAGTCGACGTTGGCCGGCCGGCGTTACCTCGGTTCGTTTACACCGAACCTAGAGAAACGGAGTAGCTGGCATAATTTCCGGCGGAGACGGTGGCGTGCGCAGCTAACACCGTTTCATGCGTCCGCAACGCGATTCCGCTCTGCTTTGCCTCCATTCCCCATACACCTTCTAACGTTATGCGAGTCTAGCTTCTACCTTTTAAATTAGCCATCGTATTATCCTTTCTTCCACTATTCGAAAACGGACGAGGATCGAAATCAAATCCAGTTGAATGACATTTGAAAATTCGATCGAACGACAGTCGAAAACGCGATCCTGGTATCGTTACGCAAAGCGGTAATACCGGATTTACCCCGAGGCTAAGAATCGCCGAGAAGAACCGTCGTGACTCATGCTTTCGGCTTTTATCTTATCCTGGAATACATATTCGAAAAAGAAGCCGAGTTACCGATTCACGTCGCGTCCAGTTGGACGGTGACGCGCACGGGGCGCGAATTTTAAAATCCTTCGAGTGCGCTACACGGACGCAGATAAGAGCGGGGACGAAAAAGGTAAACAGAAATGAGATTTATGTTATGTAGGAAGTGAAACAAAAGTAACAGAAATAAGAATGATTAAGATCATTCGATACGGTAAGATCAAGGGGTTAGTAAAAAAGTGGTGCATTTAAATTTCTTACGTAGAGGAGTACCTAAAAGATCGATGCAATAAAATCGTTATGATGAAATAGTAACCGACTAGAGTTCGCACGATCAATCGAACCATCCGAGATCCAAGCAACGGGTTTAACGAAACGATTCGAGCGATTTTATTAATCATGGTATCGCGGAAACGAGCGCAATATACGTTCATTAAAATACCACGGTGCGCCGCTTTCGCACACTCTCGGTCGGAGATCACCTTGTATTAATACGACTAACGAAGACAGTACAGATATAAACCGATAAAATTTACAGTAACCATAAAATACTTTACGCCTCTCCCTCTTGGTCGTTTAATTTCCTACTTAGACCGTCTTATCTTCTTCATAAATGCGATTGAAAAAAGTATCGAGATAATTCCCTAAAAATGTGTGCATCGATTTCTACGAAATCCTAGTCTTCGACCTTAGTGTTATATTATAATTTAAAGCCGAGGCTGAAAGTTAGTAAGCGTACGAGCTGTGCCTCGAGCACACGCGCCAAAGACAGGGAGACTAATGAAAGCGTACTAAGGTGTAAGAGAAAAGGAGAAAAAGGTGAAACGTTCGATCAACGCAACGAAGAACGAGCCGAGTCGTTGAAGAAACGCATTGGGTTGACTCATTCCAACGAGTTGGCGAGCACCCTCTCCTCGATCAGGTATTTCCATGCGCAAGGTGCAGCATGCGCACACTCTGGCGATCACAAGTACACAGGTACGCCACCTTGGTGCCGCCTAAGAGACACAACTGTCCGCTGACGTCATCGCGCGACAAATTATTCGACTCATGGGAGTTCGACGCGTGTGTGAAACGTAATACGCGGTTATGTACTATTATCCTCGTTTCGAACGCGGAAAACACGATTCAGAGTTAAAGAGAAGGTGAAAACAAGGCGAGAAACTTTATAACCGGAGAAAATATAATAGTTGCTGCCTATTGTGGATGATCCACGTTTATACCGAGGTTTATTTTACGGTATAACGGATAAAAATAGAGAAAACGACGGGAACGAGAAATTGCCACTTACATAGAATTACTGAATCGTAGATTTCAAGCACGTTAAAACTTAGAAATACTATTTTGAAATGTAAATACCTGATAATACGACGTGTAGTTCACTCATTCGCTTCTGTTCACCCGACTCCTTGTCATCGTAAACGTCACCTGTAATTAAAAGAAATCAAGATTAGAGAAAATTAAAGAATGATTCTGTAATTCTTATCCATGTAAAACCAGTCAGCATCGATCGAAAATTATAAACGATCGTTGGTGCATGAAACGCGACATCAATCGTGCCTTCTCGTACAGACGATAACGAGGTAGGTAGTACTGTCAGCTAAAGAAGGGGTTCTCGGTGGATGCGTGTGTAGTATGTGCACGTCGACGATGAAGCAGTAGTCATAGAAAGGGTTGCCGAGCAGCATCGAGCGTATAACGTACAAATTATACGTGGCCACGGAACGGCTGATTTACACGCAACAAACGAAGCATGGAAAACCGTTATCGCGAGTTGAAACGCGGTAACGTGTTAAGTATCCATCGAGAAACATCTGATAAACTAATTCGATCGTGTGATCCCGACGAGATCCTGAGTACAACCGAATACGGTCCACACATTTAATCTTCACACATGAGAATTTCGCGTTATCTAACGCGTGCAACTTACGTATGACCTATTTCCTTTCATTGATAAGGATACAATAAGAAGACAGTCTGACACGTTCCCAAGAAGCGAGCACAGTAGGCTCGTTCACGGTTCGCGACGTTTTCTACGCTTCTCCAGTGAAATCAAACGAGAAACGAAGCTCGAAAGTGCACGTTTAACCGAGCAGAGTAAAAATCATATAACCGTGGCGAGTTAAACGAAGAAAAACGAGTGCAACGCGTAACTCTTCGCTAAATCCGGCTGTCAGTGAATCGCGTTCAAACCGAACTCCTATTTAACGTTTGCGGCGTTTGCGTTTAGCGCCGCCTTCCCGCGGAACGCTTTCAAAAGTACTCGAAACCTCCGAGCGAGAGTAATTTCCACAATTAGCGTTCGCCTCTCCACACATGCTACACAAACGTCTACACACGCGTACGACTATGCGTGTGACTGTGTGGAAACGTGCTTTGCCTTATTTATAGTTTCCCCGGTATGTCCCACGATTTTAAGGTTTCCTAAGGTACCCTGGTCAATTCGACTATGTCTCTTGAAGCGCATCTTAACCCCGCTGCATTACATTCGCGTCGTAATTGCTCCGTCTGAAAAATCTTCATTTTTTCAATTTTTGCCACTGTCAGTGACAAAGAAACGAGACGGTGTCGTGATCTCATTTTTGAAAAAAGAAACGACATTACACGCCTTCTTCCTCTGCGCCCATCAAATCTCGTTTAGCGAAGCGCGAGCGTGCATACACACGCACACCCACGGGGTCGATTCTCGATTCAGCGAAGCGTCGATTTGCCGCATGCCCGACAGCGTTACTTTTGTATGGAGCTACGGAACCGCGTAACACGCCTACACATACACACGTTCGCGCGCGTGTAAATAATTACAACCTTCTAGAAGAGCGGAGCAGAGCAGGCCAGAAGAGTAGTAGTAGTAGTAGTACGAGGAGGAGGAGGTGGAGGTGGAGGCGAAAGGAGGGCCAAACGAGCCACAGCTTTCAAAAAGCATCCCACCGATAATACCCATATTCCCAGCCATCGAGACCCGCAGAGCTGCGCAAAATTCCAGACTCGCCGCGTTCTCTCTTCCCTCTCTAACCCCCATTTACCTCTGCTATGCGAGGAGAGGATATCCAGGCGGTCGCTACCGCTACTGGTTTCCCGTGCTACGCGCGGCATCGCCGGGAGCGACGATAATATAAAGCTCGTCGTTCTAGCCGTCGCGGCGCTGGCTCGGAGGCGCGCGACGCGACCGACACACAGACGCGTAACGACAACGAACAAGATACCCATGGTATGTGGAAGATGAACATACGTGCCGTTGATTATGGAAGTGGGTTCATAGAAAGGGTTAATACGACGATGCAAAATCCAGTGCATCGACGATGCACCCCCTGGCGCGTCGAAATCCAACGTCATCGCAACGCGATTTCTAGTTTTCCTATTAAATGTCGCGATTTACGGTCACGCGAAAACGTATCGGAACGGTGACACGGAGAGAGGTCGCGTTTCGAGGGGTAGGTAAGAGAGCCAGGGGAGAATCGGTTGGAAGAAGCGAAGAGGAAGGGACTCTTTCTCTCCGGCACAGGGAAAGAAGACGCGTAAACGAAGGATGAGAGAGAAAGGTGCAGAGGCGGGTAATAGGGAAAGAGCCGCCGCGCCGGTGTACCGTGGGGTGAGTCGGCGCGGGAACGAGCGGTTTCGTGGGTCGGTGGGTGGACCGGGAGAAGCGTAGCGGACCGAGATAGAAGCGGAGGAGGAGGGGAGGTGGGACGAGGTTGGTTAAGCGGACGACGCGTAGCGGGGCTGAGAGACGAAAGAACGTATATAGGGTGTCTCAGCCATCGTGGTAAACACTAACGAGCAGGGGATGATTCCTCGAGTGAACGTAAGTCAGAGATGCGGAATAAAGTTTTCGCATTTTGCATGTTCGTTTGCGTTCACGCACATGGATAATAAGATTACTTGCTTCCTGTCGTTTCAACAAGACTTACCAACTGGTAGCCGCGTACTTGACCGATTTTCAAAGCGGTTTTTCTCCAAAACTAGGCCCCGTATGCGAAAATGTTACTATGTACTTTGAATTCATTTTTTATATTAGAAATCATCCCCTTCTGACCGATTGATGGCAGGTTGGCTGGGTCACCCTGTATAGTAGAGAGGATAGGAGCGAAGCAGTCGTTGGTGGGCGGCAAAGGGAGAGCGAAGAAGGGGTGCGGGGAGAGACACACGGTGCGAGAGGTGCTGGGCTGAGTTTGCGAGCACGCGCTACTACTCTTCGAGGCTCGGAGTTCTATCTGGCCGTGTCCCTCCGGTTCTCTCTGTATTTCTTTCTCTCTCACACCCTCGATCCCTCTTTCACGAGGTTTCTTCGTTCGGTGCACGTACTACTCGATCCTCTCTCGCTTTACGCCCGGTTCTCTCGGATCCCGCTTCGTTCTTCGTTCCTCGTCCTTCCCTTCTGCGGTCTTTCTCCTTTAACGACTACCCTCTCTTTTCCACTATCCTACCGACCGCCTGGATCACTTCAGCTTCTCTCTTTCTATCAGCGCCGTCCGGGTTCGTTCTCTGACACTCCACCAACCCAACCCGCGCTCGCATCTCTCTCTCGCTCTTCCCTGCCCCCGTCCACTCTTCTTCATCGCGACAGCCGCATCGGTTCTCGTTCTGCGTCCTCCGTTCTCTCTGTCCAAGTATCTGTGTGTATATGTGTGTCAGAGCACCTCTTTTTCTCGCGTCTGTATACGCTCCACGGCCCGGTTCCTCCTGCTCGACGTTTCCCTGGCCTCTATCGCTCTCTCGCTCCTTTCCCGCGATCCAGCTCTTTTTTCTTTCTTACTATCTTTCTCTCTCACACTTTTACCGAGTCGCTCCTCCTCTTCAACTCTAACCGATCCTCGCTCGCGTTCTGCTTGGCGTGTATGAGACACGAGAAAGGCTCGGAGCCGAGTTCACGTTCCATCGCGAAGCGGCCTGGGTGGAATTGGTATATCGGGGGATGGAACGCAAGCTTAAGGTCCATTTATACATCGACGACTAGAGCGTGGACAGAGTATCGAACGTGACTGCATCGTCGAACCACCGATCAATAGAGTTTCGTCATTATTTCCGATTACTTCGGGAGAAACCGAGGATACGAACTAAAATAACGACAAAAGTTTAACCCCTGCTTGATCTATCAATGTATGGATGGACCTTTAAGAGATATGGTCATAATCGTACCGATCCCTCAAGACGAGTCGTTGTTGCAACGGAAGTATCTTCGGTTGTCAAGAGTACCGAAACTTTCGATGCTTCAGATAAAGGAGCCCCGCTAATTAGTAGGAGAAAATGTTGGACAGTAGCGAAACTGGCTGTCGAGGAAGATGAGAAGTCGATGGTATGGACCGAGACGAAACACGAGGATAATGATCTGAAGAGTTTCGAACTGATATTGTTATCGATATTTTACAAAAGATTTCTAACCCATTTTCCCTGAAAAATTTATTCTTCGACCCGATGATGTATATCGACCAAAATGATGATGTTTGCGAGGAGCCTCGTTTATATTTGATCGAGTATCGCACAAAGCGGTGGCACGAATCGATTGTCCCCGCAATATATGTACATATGTATGTATATCATTTCCGTTTCACGAGTATTCGACTTACTATGAATGAATATGATCGTACACGTGTAATCATAGTTATGCTACACGTATACATCATCGTATAATATCGGTCAAATCGTTTGTTGTTCAGTGCGAGCAATCAGGTTTCGCACGCGTGCGCAAGCATACCTACCCCGCGCTTAGATCACTTTCATGAGCGCATAATCGCGTGGCCGTCGATTTATTTTCCGATCGTTAGCTGGCCATATTAATATATGATAATGCTGGCAATAAAGTAATCGCAACGCGGCATCGAAGCGTCTCATTAAAAAGCTGATAAACAACCGACGCATTCGCGCGATCAATTTTCGACGCGATTGAGTAATTGCTCCGCCTTCCAACTCTTACCCTACTTTACCCGAATAAACGCGCCTCTTCTTCGTTTATTTTTTTTCCCCTCCTGTATCACAAATTTCCGCGTGTAATTACCAGCAAGTGCTTTTCTCGAGTCTACGAAGCACTCGCAACCGCGACCACTTTTTCCTGATCGAATATTAATTTAAATTGCGTACCGCGAAAATTCGAAGAAAAAACACGACGACTCCCGTTCGTTTCTACATTGATAGTTAATGATTTCCTATGTATGATCTCGGTCATGACGGTATATCAAAAACTGCCAGAATATTTCACGAATCGGGTAAACAGAAATTTATGGACGACCCTTTGCCATTTCCCTCGTGGCGTCGTTTTTAATGTTCGCCCATTGATTTGCTCCAGTGACACCGAAATAAAACGTACGACAATGCCCTGGTGATAAAGAATTTGTTACCCGAGAAATCCACCCCCGTTAGTTATATGTATATATGTACACATACATGTACATAGTATGTAATGTCCCCGCGGAGAAGAGCGGGAAAGAAATATC